CCCTCGGTCGTTCAGATCATCTCCAAGACCGATCTCATCAAATATATGCTCACCCGGCCGATCATACGCGGCCGAATTGGGAAATGGACGATGGCATTGTCCGAATTCACCTTCCAATATGTGGCTCAGAAATCGGTCAAGGGTCAGGCATTGGCCGATTTCTTGGCTCACCACCCGGCTCAGGGGTAGGAAGAGGAGTTGGAGGTCGAGATCGGCATGGCCCGTATGGAGAAGAACTACTGGACCATGTACTTCGACGGCTCCAGTACCGAGGCCAGGTCCGGAGCCGGAGTCGTGATCGAATCCCCTCAAGGACAAAGGTGGAAATTTGCGTTCCAGCTTGATTTCAAATGCACCAACAATCAGGACGAATACGAAGCACTCATCATCGGCCTCGAAATTTTGAAAGAAATGAAGGCGACCCGTGTCTTGGTCTACGGTGATTCTCAGCTGGTAATTAACCAACTGACCGGGGAATACCAGTGCACGAGCGAGAATTTAATTATGTATTACGTAGCGGCCCTCAATACGACCGACGATTTCTCCAGGATTTCCTTTGTCCACGTACCACGCGCCGAAAACCATGAGGCCAATGAGATGGCCCAAGTGGCGTCAGGTGTGAATATTCTGGACAATGACCACGATCGTGTGGTAAGAATCGAGAGGTGTACCTTGCCAGCTTTGGCTGAACGGGGAATGACAACGAAAGTGTCATCGGCCGATATCACCGACGAAGTCAACACGGCCGAGGCCGATTGGCGTTACCCCATAGTAAGGTATTTGCGCGACCCTTCCGGCAGCCATGAGAGGACTACACGTTTCCGAGCTCGGTGTTATTTAATTTACCAGAACGAGCTATATCGAAAGGGATCAGACGGCTTATTGGTCTTATGTCCCAGCGCCGAAGACATCAAGGTTATCATGACCGAATCCCACGAGGGGATTTGCGGCGCTCATCAGTTTGGCGTCAAGATGAGATGGTTGGTTCGGAGGCACGGCTATTACTGGCCGACCATTTTAAAAGATTGCATAGAGTATGCGAAGCGACTGGATCCACCAATCCGGATGCATACCATCCTCCCTCTTCCAACTGCTTTTCTTTTGGGACCGCCAGAGGGTGTCCATACACCCGGCTGATGAAAAACCCTTTGAAACCAACGCCGTGCAAGCGTGGATTTACGACGACGACGTTGGATGGGTTGTCCTCACCGGCCACGATGCAGCATGGCCGTTCACAGGTTGGGCCGTGGATATCATCGGCAAAATCTATCCGGCCGCGTCCAACCAACACGCATGGATTTTGGTGGCAACCGACTATTTTACTAAATGGGTTGACGCGGAGTCCTATCGGTCAATTTCTAGTGCACAGGTGGTCGAATTCTTCAAGAAACACATCGTCGGTATACCTGAAACTATCACGGCCGACAACGGCCCAGTTTTCGCATCGGCCGAAACCCGGGAGTACACCGAAAAAATGGGGATCAAATTGGTTCACTCAACACCTTACTACCCCCAGTCTAACGGACAGGCCGAGGCGAGCAACAAGGTAATCAAGGGCATCCTTGAGAAAATGATTGAGGAAAAACCAAGGGCATGGCACGACTTACTCCTTGAAGCCCTTTGGGCTTACCGAGTCACAAAACGATCAGCCACGGGCACATCTCCTTATGCCTTAACCTACGGTCATGATGCCATCGTTCCAATGGAGTTAAAGGTTCGGTCTCTCCGTGTGACCGAGCAGCCTGGTGAAGAAAGGAAGGGCTATGCGCAAGCTATGGCTTAGGAGTCAGAAGACTTGGAGCAGTCCAGACTCGATGCTTATAACCTAATGCAGGCACAGAAGAAAATCACGGCAAGGGCCTATAACCGAGTGGTCAAGCAAAAGACTTTCGCCGAAGGCGACTTGGTATCGCGAGCCGTGCTTCCTATCGGGACTAAGGACCCTCGGTTCGGCAAATTCTCACCTAACTGGGAGGGGCCGTTTGTTATCGAACGAATCCTGGGCCGAGGCGCATTCCAATTAAGGGATAGGGATGGAGAATGGCACAACCTACCAATAAACGGCCAGTATTTAAATAAGTATACCCCGTCATTATGGGAGACGGCCGAGAATGGATTATGAGGTTCTTACAACTGGAAGTAAACAGCACAACAAAGAGAAAAGACAAGGCATGCTTTCAGACAGGAGGAAAGAGGAATCATACTTCATTTATTTAAGAAAGGGGTCACGTTTACAAAGGAACGGCCAGGTCATGGCCGATTACAACATATAGATACACATAAGAAAAGATTGCATCCTAAATCTACGAACATCAGCTTCATGGTCCCCTCGCTGGACAGGCAGATGTTTCTTCCTGAGACTAGGGGCGTCACTCAGGACACGGGTACGACCAGGTGAGCCCAGGGCCGTCTTTCCGGCCAAGGGAAGGGGCGGCACTCAGGACACGAGTACGACCAGGCGAAACCGGGGCCGTCGTTCCGGCCGGGGGAAGGGGCGTCACTCTGGACATGTGTGCAACCCGGGTGCCCAGCCGAATGAACACGGCCACGGCCACGTTGGAATCATCGTACCAGACCCTCCCATCTTCATCAATCCCATTGCAATATCTCCTCAGCCTCATAGGGATGGAGGTCATCTTCCTCCAGGGCTGGGAAGGAATCTCAGCCACATTTTGGTTCTGGCTCACGTCGACTTTCCGAGGCGAAGGGAAGTCGGTGGATAGCAGGTGAGGAAAAGCCATCTGACTATGGCCAAACGGCCAAGTCGCGAGGTTCAGCGGATGTGGCTCCCCGGTTTTTAGAAGGGCTACAATGGGGGCCACTGGAGCAGGTTAAAATGAAGGGGAGCAGGAGTAAAGGAGGAAGGAGGCCCAGAAATCACTAAGCAAGAGGAGAGCTTCAGAGCAGGAGGCGTGAAAGAAAAAATGAAGGAAGGCAGGGATTTTATACTAGCACTGGAATTCAGAATAGGCGGTTTGACTCTCGAAAGACGAAACAGCCTGACAACGCACTCGGGGCACGCGAGGGTGTGTCTGAAACCTGGGGGAGGACGTTTCGGTTGGCGAGGTAAAATGATGGCTCGCACAAATCAAAAGCACGATGACGTGTCAGAAGCCCAGAGGCCGTCGTTTCATTTGACGAGGCGAAGCAACGCCTCGCGTAAGTCTGGGCAATGATGGCCTGCAAGACGTGCTTGGGCATTAAATGCGCCGACTGGCCTGCGCATTTAATGCACCAAGTGTCAATCACTTCTGAAGGAATGCAAAGGGTCCATCCCCTGGAATCCATTCGGCCCCTACCCATGCCGAGACCGAAGAATCCGGGGATGTGAGGGCAATGTTTGTGCTTAATAAATCACGGCCATGAACTGACCGAAGGAGCCCCTTTTCTCGGCCCTAATACTTGCTCGTGAGGCTAAAACGCCGTGTTTCGCCAAGATGTTTGGCCTTCCTAAAAAAGTAAAGGAAAAGTTGCGAATGCATGATCATCTCGGCCTTGATTATAGGCCGAGGCCGAAGCCGAACAAAATCACGGCCAAAGGTACTAAAGTCAGATCATCAAGTGGCAGCAGGGTCCCACGCTTCATTTAATGAAGCAATGCCTCTATTTTTTGCAGCAAACCCACTGGCCATGAATAAGCATTTAATGCACGAGGGAAGGTGGGAAGTGATTGAAGTCAGGATTTGGTGATAGGAATCAGAGTGATTAGACGCAGACATTCTCACAAGAATTCTTGCAGCTTGAGAGATTAGGTCACCAACTATCAGAAACAATAAATGCGTCTCCACGACCAGAAGCGCAGAACCCACGATCAGGGCGGCGGCCGAGATTCACCGGGATTTATGGGGTCACACCACCATACTTCACGATCCCAAATATCGATTGGACTACCCACTTGCTCTAATCAGGCTCCACCATGCAGATTTTTAGCCTCGATTACTCCTCCAAGAACTTTTCCTATAAATACAAGGCTCAAGCTACATTCACGGGGTTCAAACACCAAAACAAAAGCCTCCCACGGAGCAAATTATATTTTCCTGTAATGCACTTTCAATATCTTCACTTGCTTTCCTAGGAGTAGTGTTAGTCTGTAAGGAAAATCCATTCATCAATATATCATACGACCCTTGATTTTCAAGGCGCCGGAGCACCATCTCTGTTACTCATCATTCACCCCATATATCATACGACCGTCGCTCACTGAGCAGCGCGCCGGAGCACTGCCCAAAACCCACCATCAGCACCACCCCTAAACGACCTTGTAGCTCAGGCAGTGAACCTTACAGCCGAGATCAGTTCCTCTTTCGCCTACAATCGTTTGATTAGAAGACGAGTTCAAATAGGCGCACCACTTGACCATTCTATCCACATCAACATCTCGACGCACGGTACACCGTGCTGGCACGCCCGCGCACAACCGCACCGCATCCAAAAGCAGGAAGCCACGTGTTAATGCACATCCCCTCGGCCCGGAGCACCAGGCCGTGAGATTTGCGCAGCCAACAGATTACAACATTAATAATGTTGAGTATAACCAACATGGTGGCTATGAATATGGTTTTAATCATTATGATTATTTGCCAGATTATGGTGATGAAAATTATGATGATCAAACTTATTTTAATGGTTACAAAGAGCCATTTTGTGGTTCTAGTAGCCAACAAAAGCCAATATGTGGTTCTACTTCTAGCCATGTTTCAAAGAAGCTCCATAAAAATTCAGGCATAATACATGTGAAACCAAATTTTGGTTCCAACATGTATAATGTTGATGCTATTCATGAAGAAAGAGCTTAAACCCAAAGGCGTACAGAAAAGTTAGAAGTCATGATCAAATTCCATGGAGCCCTCACCCAGTTGACTGAACAATGGAAAATACGCCAAAAGGAATTAAAAGAGCTCCAAAAAGGATTTAAAGAGTTCAGAAAGGAGGAGGACAAGGCTCGGAATTGGTAGTGAGTCACAAATTTTTCCAATTTTGGAAGAAAAAATGGAGAAAACTTTGGTGATTCAAGAGCCAAAAAGTGATGAGGTTTCTCTTTCAAGTGAGTCACCAGTTCCTCTAGTCGTTGAAAAACAAGAAATTGTGGAATGTTTGGTGTTTCAAGAAGGAAAATGTGATGAAAAACCAAGGGGGGAAGACCCACAAATTACTTTCTATGAAGACCAAAATATGGTTGAAATAGAAAATTCAATGATTGGCATGATTATGGGTGACAAAGCCAATTTGTCAAGGCCACCAACAGCTATGTTGGAAAGTAAGGCCATGATTGGCCAAAATATAACCATACTTGGGGGGCAAGAGAATTCATCTTATTTGGAGCCCAATGAGCAAGAAAATTCCACCACTTTTCTTGCTAAATCACTTCATGGCCTACAAAAACATGAGATTCATGTTGAAAATGCAAAAAAATCAAGGCTTGGAGTGAAACATGGTTGGCCTCCCCTTATGGTGCGAGGTTTGAGTGCTCTATTTTAGCTAGGATTGTAATTTCAGCTAAAATTGATGGCAGAGTTGTAAATTCAGCCAGAATTGGTGGCAGAATTATAATTTTAGGCAGAATTGGTGGCAGAATTGTAAATTCATGCAGAATTGGTGCCAAAACAACCAGAACAGAGCCAAAACACTGCCAGAACAGCCAGAACAGAGCCAAAACACTGCTAGAACAGCCAGAACTGAGTCAAAACGTGGCCACAACAGCTAGAACTGAGCTAAAACAAGGCAAGAACATCTAGAACTGAGCCAAAACAGTGACAGAACAGCTAGAACAGGGTCAAAATGGTCTCGAAACACGCAAAAAATGGGCGAATAGCACCACAATTTTGGTATGTTTGCTTGAATTCAAGGAGATTCGGGGGCATATTGTCAAATTCGCCTCAAATTCTACACTTTTTCATATGGCCATGTATTTTTCATCCATCCACATACTGATCGGCAAATTTTGCTAAAGCTATAATTTTCATAAATTTTGCCCAAATTCATGAAAACTCGGGGGCATTGTTTGTACCAAAATTTGCACTTTTTGGCCAAACTCTCCATTCTAGCCAAAATACATTTAGACTTATTTTTTACTCATCAGCCCAACTGGCTATTCGGGCTCCACTTGCCAAAAATTGGAAAAGAAGCCCATATCATTCCAAGAGATAAAATAAGCCAAAATAGCTTTCCCAAGTTTCCAGATTACATATTTTGAAACTTGAGGTCTGACCTTCATTAACTCAAGACCATATCAACATAAAGGTAAAAGCAAAAGTTAGCTTCTATAGCCATTTAAGTCTCAGGAACTACAGACCCGTGTGGTCTCATCAATTAAGATATTTTGAAGCACAAGTTACAAAAATGGCCAGAAGGTATTCAAAAGGAATTCTTAGAGAAAGCATGCTGAGTATCTCTGCAAAACATCCATGTGCCTCCAAAAGAGGGATATTTTCTTCACAAGTTACAAGGAAAAGATATTCATCACAACTGATATTTTCCAGGAGATATTTTCCAGATATTTTTAGGAACCAAAATTCCTATAAATACAAGGGATAAGAACTGAAAAATGATGACCAACAATCAACAAAACAAATACAAAATAAACAATCAGTTCACTGATCATTCTAGCCTTCAATAGAAGCAAAGCCAACAAAGGTACCAAGGACCTTCAAAGCTATCCTTGAGATTCTGCTCAGAATTCCCAGCCACTCACAACTCAACTTGATTATAGCTTTGCCAATTTCAACATTGGTATCGATTTCCAGCTAATATTTTTTAGCTGAAGGTGCAGCCAATCCAGTCCAG